ACGGTATTCCACCCACTCTTGACACCTTTCTGCATCCAGGCAAGCAAGAGAGAGACACTATCATAGTTAAAAGACATATGCCAGTTGGGCAAAGGAACCTGAGGATGCCATGGAGCAGGGCAGGTGAGAGGCAAGGGCTGGGGAGGGGGAGGTGCCTGTGAGCCAAGTAAAGAGACTTGAAGGCTCAAGAGGAGACGATATGCTTCTGAACACCAGTGGCTGGAAACCACAGCAGAGGAGTGTGTTGTTGTGCTCAGGTCCTACTTGCAGGCATTACAGCATCTGGCTGGCCACTGTGGCAACAGGATGTTGGACTAGATGAGCCATTGGCCTGATCCCGGAGGCTCCTCTTATGTATTACCATAGTACACACACCCTGGCCATCACTACATCTTTAAATGGCTCACCCTCCCTTGTTAGTCCCAGTTGGGCTGACGCAGGTTCCCAAATTGGGGAACACCAGCTCTCCTCACACTTCTTGACCCAATTATGCCATAGGCAAGCTCAGGGTTGGGGTGGGGATGTCCTTCTTTTCAGTGGAAAATGTTCACACATCTTACAGGGAAGAGGGCCCATCTCCACTGTAATTCATCTTTGTCTTATTAGCTTAACTTGTTCTTCAGATATTTGCCCACTAGCACTCCCATCCGAGACGGTGAAGGGGCTCCATGTGCCAACAACCACTGCATTAAGATGATAGCAACGGATTATTATAATTAAGACTCCGGCTGTGTTTAATTAATGGCTTGTCTTTAAATGCAAAAAGAAAGGGTGACAGTATAAATGCCAAATCCTCTTAAGCAGCAGTTCTGGAGTGCATTTTAGAACTTATCTGAGTTTCAATGCTTGCCTTCTGCTTTTGGTTTTAGAATCTCTTTCCTTCTCAGCTGTGCTACTTAATGGCAATTTAAGCTAAAAACTGACACTTCCCTCTCTCTGTGGTACAAATTCTGCACTACAGAATTACAGCAGTTTTAAGTGTTGCAGATTTTTGCAAAGCAACCTTGGGGACTGCAGCTTTGCAAAGCTGTTGTGAATTATTTGTAAGCGATTCTAAGTCCAGTGTTCCTTGATGGATGGATGGATAGAGAAAGAGAGAGCAATTGTTGCAGGAGCATAGGAAGATGCCTTATATTGGGGTCAGGCTATTTCTTCATCTATAGCCCAGCACTGTCTGCTGACTTGACAGCAGCTTTTCAGGGCTCTTGGGGAAAAAGCAATCTTTCCCTTCACCTGTTAACTGATCTTTTTAGCAGGAGATACCAGGGACTGAACTTGGGAGTTGTCTGCATGCAGAACAGATGCTCCAATGCATCACCACTGAGAATGAGGCATGCTGCTGTCGCACCAGAGCTGAAAGCCAGGTATTGCCAGTCCAAAGGCTTCTAACCCCCTGCTAATAAAAGGGGAAAATGCTTCATGAGCCATTTATTTAAAAAAATCTTTTTGTGTACAAAGAACACACAGGATGAAGTGGTGATGGTAACTCACTGGGTTAAGTCCCAGCCCCATGGCACAGTCAAGTGGTAGAGCACATGCCATTAACAGCACCAGCTCCTAAGGGTTGAGCCCTTTTGGGGGTCTTCAATATTTTTTGGGTCACACCCCCCCCCCCCCCATGTTCCAAAAGCCCAGAGACTGAGTATATGGCTCCAGTGGCTGGCTCCTCCTCCTGCTGTCATGGAGGGGGCCGAAGCAACCTCCCACCCAGAGTAGGCACAGGAGGAGCTACCAGCCATTGAAGCTGCATGACCACTGAGTTCGGCTCTGCCCCCAGCTCCTCCCAATGTCCTGATGTCATGTACATGACGTTGGGATGCCAGGTGCTGGTGGTGGTGCTCTTGGTTGCATATGGGCGTTGGTCAGTGTCCAACAATGCCAAGCCAATACACACTAAGCTATGCTAGATGGTCAAATAGTCAAGCATAGTATAAAGGATCTCCTGCTCCTGGTCCAAGCACCAGAAGCTCGTGCTTGTCAAACATGCCTGGAACTGTTTCATGTTGCCAGTATAGACAAGACTATCAGCCCCTTCTAGATTCTAAACTGTGGTCTGTGAGCCTTATTCAGATGGTCTATAGCATGCCTGAGGATCTGAGGCAACATGTCCAGTGCACTGAACATTCATATTGACCTTTAACTGTATATTTATTGCTGTCCTATTTCTTATGTTGTATTTTATGGCATTGCAGTGTGAATCCTGTGGAATTGCAATGGCTGCAACAAGCAGAAAAATCAGCTATTTTAAAATGGCCCATGTGGGGAAAATGTTTGGGAACCAATGATTTAGAGGAAGGCTCTTTTTTATGCCAACCTGCTGACTTTGGCACACATTGAACCCCCCCCCCCCCCAAAATAAAACTGTAGAAGAACTGTGCCATCCCTATTAGTTCAAACTGACACACTGGCAGCTAATGTGTTTGGTGAAGTATGTTGCAGGCACTGGTGGGAACATGCACGCATAGACAGAACATGATTGGGGATATCTTTGTTTTCATTCCTAGTCCATTCCCGCCTTTCATTTCTGGATATTTTGTTCCTTCAACCAAACCATTCTCAAGAGAAGCTGCCACCTGAACAAGTCTTCAGTAAATACTGCAAGCTTGACAACAGCTGCACACCAAAGATAAGCCCTGCAGTTTTCACGAAACCAGGTTATTTGCACATCATGCAAATCTCTTAACTGCTGGGTTAGTTTTGTTTTTAGCAAGCTGCTGATCAGGCCTAACTACATCCAAAAAAACCAAGACAAAACACAAAATTTGTTGCTTAAGGGCAGTGGAAACTCTGTTGATGTCTGATGAAAAGAACCTGACTCTAGCCCAGGGATGGGAAGGATGTGAAATCAATGACAGCATCCATAGCCACTAAAAGCCATCATTTGGATCCCTGTGATCAAAGGACTGCCTATTTACTTCTCCACAAATCTGAAAGTGTTTCCTGTTAGCAAGAAGCCAAAAGCTATCTATGCCTAACCCAGATCACCATGTTCTGAATTCAAAAAGGCAACCCCACCCCCAAGTGGCAAGAAGCAGAGGAGCCAGGGCACAGCTGGAGGTCTGGGGTGGGGAGTGTGGGGTGGGGGGTGGGGTGGGGAGGAACCTGGCAGGATCAGGTGGGCAGAACCTGTATGTGAGGTGGGGGAGGGGTAGATGGCAGAATCTAACCTATTCCCCATCCCTGGTATGGGAAAACTCAGCTGGGCAGCATCCTCTGTTCTGGCACTTGGCAAAGATGTTTTAGTAAGCAACAAAAAACAAGAGAAAGAGGACTTCAGTTGGTTAAATGATTATTATTTTTCTTTTTTTAATAACCGTCTTTCTATCTGCTACTGTATGCTTTTTAATCTTGCTGTATTTGTTGATGGGGTGGCATGTTTGTCTGTAAACCACTCTGAGGATATTTATATTTAAAGATGGCCTAGACATTGTAATAAATGAATAAATAAATAACCCCCAATGGCACTTTTTTTGGCTTTGTCTCTCCTTAGAGGTATGATTATCTCATAATAACTATGTGACTCCCCCATCGCTGCTGCCTCTCCACCCACCTGCCCTCCACACAACCTCATAGTGTCTTATTGCTTAATTAGCTGCCGGATGCAATGCTACTTTCTCTTGCCATCAACTTTGTGTAATTGCCTAGACATGTATTTCCATGAAAAGGAGGGAATATAATAATGTGTGTGTGCGTGTGTGCGCGCGCAAATGTGTGTTGCCGGGGTGTGTGCGATAAATGTCGCCATACATCTATTTTATTTGATTAATCATGGCGGGGAAAATCTGTCATTAAGGGATTTAAAGCAAAGCCGTTTTACCCCTGCTGATCATGTTCGGCAATTTTAAAATTATTTTATGATCCTGATCAATGTAATTAATGAGAATGACTGTTAATTAGTTACACCAGCAGGTGGGCTGTGAAAATACTATAGAATAACAGGCAATGTAGGATTCTTTTTCTTGCCCCCTCTTTGGGTTTTGCAGGGCTGAAAGAAGCAGTACTTACTGACTAATTCTGGGCTGTGTCCTTTCAGTACGTGAAAACACATTACTAGAAGGAACACCATGCTATAATTTTTGCTCTGTTTTAAAGGCAAATCCCTCCACTGGTTCACAGACTCAAACCTTTTGATCAGGAAACAAGATCTGTTATTCCTAAGTAATAGGAGCTTCACAAACAACATCTTGTTAATTTAAGCAATCTCAGCTGGCCCTTTCTAGTTTCCTCAGCCCCTCTGGAGAAAGGCTTGCGATGAGAAACCACCCCTTGGGAGCCAACTTGAGATAGACACTAAAACTGTTAACTGCTCTCGGCTGCTGTGTACCTAATTAGCATCGCTGAGAATATAATAGCAGTTATCAATGTCATGGGGTTGACAGGCTACCTTAAGGGACGAGAGCAGATACACGGTGAGCAAGATCTTACTTTGTGTGCGTGTGGATGTGTATACAGTCATACCTCGGGTTGAAGTAGCTTCGAGATGAATATTTTCGGGTTGCGCTCCATGGTGACCCAGAAGTAATGGAGCGCATTACTTCCGGGTTTTGCCACTCGCGCATCCGCAGATGCTCAAAATGACATCACACGCATGCGCAGAAGTGGCGAATCGTGATCTGTGCACGTGCGGACGTGCAGACACAGGTTGTGTTCACTTCAGGATGTGAACGGGGCTCCGGAACAGATCCCGTTCTCATCCAGAGGTACCACTGTACAGTGGATGCCTAGAAATGCAAAGAATGGAACCTTAAGAAACATTAACCAGTAGGGGCAGGGAGCCTTGGGAATGGTTTCCAAATGTGGCTCTTTAGGGCTCTTTACCTGGCCCTCAGAACTCTCCTGGGCCATATCTTCCTCTGGTCTTGCTTTGCACTCTGAAGTGTGGAAGCACTACCCAAAAATATTCATCCCGAAGCTGGAGTGTGTTCTTGAGCTCTGATAATGCCTCTCACTACCCTGGATGGATGATACAGAACTCTCTCTCTCTCTCTCTCTCTCTCTCTCTCTGATTGTAAAAACTAGCCTACTGTACAAAGGTAAAAATTACATTTGTTGCTCCTCCCACTTTTGCCCACCCCCCCAACTGGCATGTGGTCCTTAGAAGGTTGCCCAGATGGGAATGTGTCCGTCAGACTGAAAAAGGTTCCCCACCCCTGATTGACCTTGGAAGAAGCCATGACTGTTTGAAGTAGTATGATACTGCTTTAAATGTATAGTACTGATGAGCCTAAGGGACGCGGGTGGCGCTGTGGGTAAAACCTCAGTGCCTAGGACTTGCCGATCGTATGGTCGGCGGTTTGAATCCCCGCGACGGGGTGTGCTCCCGTCGTTCGGTCCCAGCTCCTGCCCACCTAGCAGTTCGAAAGCACCCTTAAGTGCAAGTAGATAAATAGGTACCACTTTATAGCGGGAAGGTAAACGGCGTTTCCGTGCGCTGCGCTGGTGCAGGCTCGCCAGAGCAGCTTCGTCACGCTGGCCATGTGACCTGGAAGTGTCTCCGGACAGCGCTGGCCCCTGGCCTCTTAAGCGAGATGGGCACGCAACCCCAGAGTCGGTCACGACTGGCCCGTACGGGCAGGGGTACCTTTACCTTTACCTTTACTGATGAGCCTAAAATATGGAATTAAATGGGGAGTGCAGCTCATCTTCACAGTTGTTGGGTTGATAGGTTGGTTGCCTTGGCAATAAGTATCTCCCCTCCTTCTACAAGAACCAACAAAGACTTCTGGACAGTATTTCACCTTTCCCCCAAAGCATATGAATAAGTGCCAAAAAAATTCTCAATTGAGGGAATATTAGCAGTCATACATATCACATGTCACTGAGGGAGAGTACAAATACTTAACTGAGCCCCTTACATGCCTAAATCTGTCGGCATTTTAGTGCAAATTTTTCCAACCAAACATATTTTTGTATGCAGTTCTGTTAAGCACCTACATTTTTTAAGCAGCTGGCCCTGATATAATGCTTTCTTGTATGTTATTTTTGTGCATATTCTTTGCAGCTGGAGAACTGCACTACAAAAATTCAAGAAGTGTGAATTTTGAAGGACAGCAGTGTTTTGGTCTGTGTGGTGGTTTGAGATGTGCATTAAACAGTTTCTCACTAAAATGCAAACAAAAATGATTTCCTCCTCCATCCCTACTCGATAGATAGAATTGCATCAAGCCGGTTGTCAGAACCATACCAACCCATTGTGCCGCAGGCATGTTGGGTGTAAGACAAAGCACTCGGCACCAGGTTAAACAAGAAAACATCTGCCCACACAGCTCTGCCAAGTGTACCTCAAGCAACGTGGCAAAATCGTTCCTGTTTGTTGTCAGTAAGAAGCTTCCTGCTGTGCCTGAACTAACGATCAATTTTGAGACATGGCAGGTCAACCTTGAGGTTCTGAACTACATTGTTTGCAGAAGATTTCTAGTTATTAGAGGAAGCAGAGAGGTTAGAGAGAGAAGGAGAGAGCCTTCTCGTTCTGAACTAGTGCTGAGATGAACATGCTTCCCTTGTCTTTTTTGGACCACTCTCCATCAGTGAATGAGAAAATAAATTGCTTTTGAAAACTATTGAACAGAAGAGAGAAAATTTCAGGGAAATTCTCATGGGTGGGGTGCAGGGTTTGTGTCATGTCTACTGGTGAGTTGGCCAAGGGGATATTTCTGAGTATCCTTTCTTTCATTCTGAAAATCATCTCTCTATTGGCCTCCACTTTGCAGCTTTCACAGACACTCTCACATCATTTAATGCCTATGGGAAGTCATCATTATATTATTCCTTGTATGAGGCCTTTTCCAATCAGGAAGTGTGGCCAACCCAGGGAGGCTGCAGAATGCAATAATGGAGTAATGTTTACGGATAAGAAAAAAACAAAAACCAATCATGCTGCCTGTGACCATCTGACAACAATCAGGTAAGCTCAAAAACCACTCACCCAGCCACCAAAAATTCTAAGGAAATTCTCAAGTGCCCTGGCAACGTACCAGAAAAATTGAAGGTTGTTTCGCAGAGCAAGAAGACTTTGGAGAAACTGAAGGATAGGTTTTGGCATAGCACCAGTGCTTTTTTTTGGGGGGGGGATGCAATGGTACACATACCCCTAAACATTTTGTGAATCTAAATTTGCCTTCATTGAGGGGCAGTATTTCAATATGAGTAGGAAAATGAGAGTACCCCCAAACATTTTTTTTTAGAAAAAAAGCACTGCATAGCACAATGCATGGCACAATGCAAAATAGAACAGCAACCAGGACAAGAAGTTGGGCTTTTAACCAAATCTAGTCAAATGGCCCATTTCCAGCAGGGATTGGTTTTATTGATATGTTAGAAGCAGTCTACAATCATTTACTAACCCAGAGAAACATTTTAAATCCAGGTGTCCATGCATTGCCAATAATGAGTCTAAAAGCAAATAAAAACAAAAACCTTTTAAACCATGTTTTGTCACCTGGCAGCCATCCATGATTTGCCCCAAGCTACTTTTATCAGCTTCAGCTGATATACCAACTACAGCCCCATCTGGACTGATGCCACCTTGCTACGATTCTCCATACTCTGGTAACCTCCCACTTGGATCTCTGTAATGTAGCATTTTGGGGAATCCCTTTGAAAACAGTCCTGGTCTGAAACTGGGCAGCAGTTGTGTTAACTGGGATCTGGCCAGTCCCTTAATACAATTGTATTCCACAAGTTCTTTTGCCATCTGTGTTTCCTTCAAAGTACTAGCATTAACCTTTTAAGCCCAGAACAGCTTGGGGTCAGAAGAATACGTGGAATATACTCATCCAAGGCCCCTTCTTCAGGTTTCCTCACCAAATCAGGAGTGACAGGTGGCTACTAAAAAGAGGACCTTTTTGGTGGTGGAATGCCCTTCCCAAAAAGGCTCTCCTGGCTCTCCTGGCACCCACATTATAGTCCTTTCTTCAAAATAATATCTTAAAGAAAATCCACAGGCATTTTGAATTGCTACAATCTTTCAGTGCTTTTAAATGCTGTTTTATTTGGGTTTTTTTCTTCTTCTGCCTTTTTGTGATTGCCTTTTACAAAATACTAATACTAATAATAGGCTTTTTAATAAGTTGTTTACCACCTAGAGCACATTAGTTGTTGCAAATATTGATGTTGATGATACCAGGGAAGTGGGCTATGCACAAGAGCAGTTTAACAATTTACAACCCATAGTGATGGTGAAGCCAGTGCAAGCATTTGTACTGACAGGAGGCTCATCCACACATCCCTTTGTGTCATGCTTCCTAAGCACAGGTCCAGGATTTCTAGGTCTGTATCTGAGCGGTTGTTCTTTCTTTTCTGGTCCTGCCCATCTAGCTCAGAACTGTCTGCACTGACAGGCAGGAGTCTGCACCCCGCCCCCTGCCCACCTACCTGAGGTTGCCAGGGACTAAATCTGGGGCATTTCCCATGCAATGCTGGTGCTCTATTCCTCAGATACAGGCCTTACTCAATTGGGCTCTGCAATGCGAACATAAAATAAAAATGCATCTCTGCTTTCGCAGATAAATGTCCTGAACATGTATTGCCTGTGGGAAGTCAGAAATGTCCATAGAGAGGGAGAGAGAGAGAGAGGTTTCATCTCCCTCTTTTATTTAAATTGGGGAAAGGGAGGGATTCCAACAGAATATGGAGAGGGCTTTCAAAATCATTTTCTCTGTGCTTTTCTGTAACAGCTTAATGCTAATTCCAAATGGCCCGCATCCAGATCCCATGAAGCCAGCCTTAGCAATCTCACCTGCCGGCTCTGGCACTCAATATCTCTCGCTGGCAAGCGTTGATTTGAGCGAACGGTATGCTGGCTTCTTTTGGATGAAAGGAAATTGGTGTCGGCACTCTCCTGAGCACATTTTAATAATCAGGCTGATCATGGGTGCACTGCAGCTGCTCTGTTGATGGTGTTAGACAGCAAATAAAGAAAAATGCCAGCAGTGCCCTCAGATCTGACATAACGAGTGGAACATCAGTCATTTGGCTAAAAGGCTCATAAAGGTTCCATCAGCTGTGACACCGAGGATTCTATCCTGTGCGAAGCTAACGAGGAAATGTGACAATGTTAGCAATGTCTTTAGACAATAACAAGTTACGAGGGAGCTGTGTTTCTGACAGAGGCGGGGGAAATGGAGAGAAAAAGGGTATTTCTCCTCCCCAAAAGCTGTCAAGGGTTTCCAGAATTGCTTTTCTTTTCTTTAGCTGATGATCTTTAGCCTTTTAATCAGTTCTGACTGACAGATAGATTCAATTGTTTGCCAACTGTCTTCTAGGGGTGAAACTTGGGATTCCTCAAAAGTATGGCTAGTGATAGCTGTGAGGGGGAACTATCTGCAAGGCGGAGGGCCTCCCTACATCAGCAAACCTCTGGCCAGCATTTACGTTTCCTATAATGCCCCAGGGGTGATGCTTAGGTGGGTGTACCAGGGCAATATAGGAAATTTAAAATGGCAGGCAGCTCCCAGACTCAGCAACGGCTGGGACATTTTACTTTTTTGCTTACTTCTGCAGGGCTGAGTAAAGTTGTGCTGGTGGTCAGCCCTGACATTGTCACCTGAGTAGGGGCAATAGAAAACCTTCAGGCAATGTGATGACTTTTTCTTTTCTTTTAGGAAGTTGAAAATAGCCCAAAGGCAGAGCTGAGACAGTGGAGGAAAAATGCAGCCCTATTCTCCATTAAGTACTGCTTCCATTGTCAGAAAAAGAGTGTCTGAATTGAGTTACTAGGAATTGCAAGTGGGTAATGCATGGTTGAAATCAAGTCTTGCTTGTTGGCTTCCCATAGGCATCTGGACTAGACGGGCCTTTGACCTAATCCAGCAGAGCTTTCCTTATACTCTAGAGAGCCTTTCTCAACCTTCGTTGCCATATGCCGTTGGACTACAACTCCCATGATTCCTAACCAGCATGGTCAGTGGTCATGATTGATGGGAGTTTTAGTTCAAGAACCCACAGTTGAGAAAGGCTGCTCTAGAGAAAGGATGTTTCTGAATTTCTGGTGCTGGCTAGCAGCTGTTGACTAAAGCCTTCTTCCTAGATAATATTATCAAATATAGCATGGTGGCAATTCACGATGTTTCACCGCTAGGTTTCCGTCATAGCAAAGGAGTCCAGCAGGTCAAATCAGTAGGATTTAGAGGCAGCTTGGAGTGTGCAAGAATGTGGGCATTTGTAAGCATATGGAATCACAGAGGAGCCTCTCAAGAATCTATGGAATAGGCTAGCTCAGTTGATGGGGCATGAGACTCTCAATCTCAGGGTCATACGTTTGAGCCCCATGCTGGAGTAGAATAATGAGCAGAGCAAGAAGCTGATTGGCCTAGAACATTTCCAGCATGCAAGCTTTACTTTCAGGAAAGTATGCAAAAGCAACAAATGGTCATCTGAAGGAGGGTCAACTCTACCCCCTGAGCGTGTTGTATCTCATTCTGTGGTATGTACTGCATCATAAGCAGATTTGTAAAGAGTCCTCCACCTGGAGGGGGTAAGAATTCCCTCCAGGAGACCTGGCTGAGTGCACATACCACCTTGGGGATAGCCTTGAAATGATGTTTTAAAACTGCTAGCTTTATATCAACAGCTTACAGATTTCAGTGGCATTATTGAAAGCTCATTCAGAATTACATCTGGAACACACTGGGAGCTTGGAGAGAGTTACAGAGTTACATTCCCCCCATGTCGAATAGGTCACACTACCCAACTTGACTTCTATTGACTTTATACCTAATGCACCACCTAACATTAATCTTTGTTAACATAAAGAATACCATACCATGTTTTTCTTACTTTGCTTTACTTTTGCTCTCTGCCTCCGAATAAACTCATGTGCTGATTAGGGCTAGAACTGGGTAAATCTTGGCATTTTTATTTCTAAAACAACACCAACTATCTTTCTCTGGCCATCTGTAGGAATGGTGGTAAAATTAAACCCTGTTTGTATTTTGTTGGGAAACTACAAAATCCACACTTCTCTAACCAACATGCAAACTGAAGTACATGTATCCTTCTGAATCTGCACTTCCCCCAAGTTTTTAATCAAATTGTGTGAGCAAAAGTGTATATATTAAGGGAAAATGTGCACACAAAACTGAAGGGAAGTCACTTGATCTAGCCATCCCTGGAATAAAGCCTCATTGAACTCAATGGGACTAACTTCTGAGCAGACCTGCAAAGGATTGCACTGCACTATAAATTAAAGATTACTGAATTGGGATGTATCTTCCTCCTTGTCATTTATATGCACAGCTGTGCTATGTTAATATATTTTTCTCAGTTTACTTCCTGCCTCGTATGTAGTGTTAACAAGATTGGTGTTCAGAGAACATACTGGGTTGAGTTGGCATCACTGTTTTTGTCACCTGTAAAGAAGAATCTGGGGAAATTTTATGGGGCAGAGGGGAAGATGCATGACCCAGAACTTTTATTTTTTGTTTTATTTTTTCCAAAAATGCTAAACGATTTCACTGCTTCTGTTAACCCACATGTTAACAGCTGCCTGCATTTTCAGAGTCACCCTCTGCACATTCACACAGTGCGCTACCTGTAGAAGAATGTATTTACTGCCATATTTCAAAGCTTTGTAACATGCCAACATGCAAATTAAATTCTTCACTCCAAATGTCAACAGCGAGGTGATTTCCTGCCATCCTGAGTATCATTTTCCTGAAGCAGTAAAAGTTACACAGTCAATCTTATCTTATCTCTCTCCTTTCCAAACATGCACACACATCATCCACACAAATGAACAAGCTCCCGACCACACATAGACTGCTTCCCACAGGATCCCTGGGAATTTGTGATTCATATTCTGAAAGCTATAAATGCTGCAGCCCTTGGGGGGGTGGGGGGAGATTTATATTAATGGAGACATTTTCTTATGCCAAAGCTGCCTATTTAACTGGAGAAACAAGGGATCAGTCTGTTTGGGAGCAGCATTTAAATTGCCACAATTAACCCTGCCAGAATTAACATTACTTAGCACCATTGGCAGCTGTTAAAGAAAGCCATGCACTACTTTTAAAATAATATTTCCACATCAGCTTGCAATTTGCTTAAAAAAAAAAAAAATCCTTGTGAAAATTCATCAGCATTATGTGCAAATTTCACCTAAGCTATGCATTTTTGTATGCAATTTTATAACGTTATTTTTTTCATAATACAATGCATTTTGGTATGTTGTTTTTAACTGATACACACATTTTTATGCACAATCTACCCTGGTAGATTTTTTTGGGGGGGGACACATTACTTGGCCGGAGAACTTCATTGTGAAATACAAAAGCATGTGAATTTGAAGGATGACCGTGCTTCAGTTCATGTATTGTTTTGCAAAGTGTGAATTAGGTAGTCTATTAAACATGAACTAAATCAACTCTCCCCCCCCCATTCCGAATTAAGAGACTGTGTAAATCCTCAGTTCACATCTTGGCTCCCACTGTGGGGCTCTATTTTTTATTATTTATTGAATTTTGTATACCGCCCTATACCTGTACGTCTCAGGGTGGTTCACAGAACAAAATCAAAACATAAAACCAAAAATATATAATCAAAATAAAAACAACAACCCAATAACCCACCTACCCTCCTTTAGTCAAGCTACTGTCTTATTGGCCATCTTGCCCACAGCAACTTTGATCTTGCTTACAGGGTTGTTACAAGGATTACTGGGCTGAGTGTGCGAAGTGATCTGAGCACTCATCAGGTTTAAAAATGCTGTAAGTAATAAGAATACAATAAAAGACCTGCTGGATGCTCAAGGTTTCATTTTTAACATGCAAAGCCCTGACCTTGGGGGCAGGGCTACATGAAAGCATACCTTTCCTTTTACAAATCCATTATTAGATGGCTAAAATCAGGAGGGGGGGCATGTTTTTAGTCTGAGGGCCACATTCCCAAGTAGGGGCCACATGCCAGTAGTAGGCAGGGCCAGGGGCAAAAGTGGGTGGGGCAAGAAATGTACAGTTTACCTTTGCAGTATAGGTACACCTCACTATTTTCCATTCAGACAAGCAAGAAGCATAGTCAGAATTTAAGGACACAGAATTATAGCCAGGCAGAGACACTTGTGATGCAAGCCACAGCCTGATGAAAGAAAGGTGTTGTTATCTGAGGAGATGTTCAAGTGCCAGAGAGAGACATCTGGATAGCTGCATATAGAACCCAGGCCTGAGGTACCCTACTCCCATTTAAGATCATTGGGGGAGTTTCTATTAGTGGCAGAGTACGTATATTGCTGCTTCTCATAAAGCGACAATAGGTCTGTCAATGCCTATCTTCCATAAACTTATCTAATCCCCTTTTAAGAGAGCTTAAGGTGGGTGGATTTCACTATACCATGTGACAGCAAATTCTGTAAATTCATATCATCACGCAAAGAAGTGCATCCTTTGCCTGTTGTGCCAATCAGTTTCACTGGATGAACCCATGTTCTAGCATAATAGGAGAGAGAAAATTCTCTGTATCCACTTTCTCTGCCCCAGTTACTGATTATCTTTTAACTGCCCATCTTGTCCCCTGTTCGTCATATTTCTTTTAAACTAAAGTATATATAAACAGCCTGATATCTTTAGGCTTTCTTCATTCAGAATCTACTCCAGACCGCTTGTTGTTTTGGTATTATTATATTTGCACAACCATCCTGAGTTTTCCCTTCCAGCACAACATGCAAAGATGATCATGCACAGGTCAACAATCTGCACAGGGGTTTGAGCACTCGGCCTTTTAGGGCAGTGCAGAATTGTTTCCTTTCAGTTCAGCCTATCGGGGGCTTTCATCTCCTATATGTGCACTGGATAGCTCAATTGGTTAGAACAGGATGCTGATAACACCAAGGTCGCAGGTTCAATTCATACATGGGACAACTGCATATTCCTGCATTGCAGGGGGTTGGACTCGATGATCCTCAGGGTCCCTTCCAACTCTACAGTTCTGTGACTTTATGTGGGAATGTAGCCACTCCAGTAGGAGTACATTGCTGGTTCCCTCCAACTGTGATACCCCTGTTGTTCTCACATACCCCACCCCCCCAAAATAAGGACCTTGATGCAGGAAGTGTCTCCTGAGGGCAAGAAGTTTGAAAAATCTCTGCTCAGCAAGACACACAAGTCCACCTGAGCACCATCACAGTCTGGTGGAATCAAGATCTAAAACTTATTGCCAGCTTCCTTCTGACAATGTATTTAAAGGCAGACCAGCTGTACATCAAAATCACTTTAATCTCACTTCACACTGGCCCCATTTAAACAATCTGGGATGGATGATGAAAACAGACGGTGGATGCTGTAATGCCGAAAACAAGCTTCCCTCCTGTTTAACCAGCATTTGTGTTTGCTCCGCTCTCCACTCACTTAAAATGTCGACTTGTGGGGAAGACACTGTACAACTCAATTTCTAGCAGGCAGGAATCAAGGCTGAAGCATTCTTTCAAACTGGTGACCTGAGAGTTTGAAGGGAAGGGGATGGGGACAATCAAACCAGTACACACCATTCATTCCCAGCTCTGTCCAAAAGGGTGGGAACCTGCAGGGAGGCGATCAACTTCAGCAAATGAAGTATTCTTTAACTAATAGGCCAGAGTAAGTCAGCTGGCACTAACTGACCCCAATAAGGGCTTCTGGATAGTAAAGCCTTGTTCATTAGGGTAGATGGGGCACTGCCTTGAAAAATCTCAGTTTGCCCTCACCTGCCTGCTTTTCTTTTTTAAAATAGCTTTATTGATTATTTTTTGAAAATAATAGAAAATCCCAAGGTATACTGTGAAAATACAACATAAGGATACGCAGTCAGCAGTCTAAAAACACAGGGTATGATTTATCCTAGAGCAACCAAAATATCTAGATGCCCATAAAAATCCGGGATTATTTTTCTTATTCAAGTTCTCAATAAAATAGTACCAGTCAGTTGTAAATGAATCTTTGTGTCTCTGTCCTTTACCTAGTTGTATTGTGTTGGTGAATTTCTCAGTTAGGACCAACTGCCAAACTCTATTAGGACAGTTTGATGAGGATGCGCCTTTCAAATATTTCCAAAACTGGGCTATAACAAGTTTATCTGCTAACAATAAAGAACCAGTAAAATATTCATATTAAATATCTTCATAAAATTATCAGGGGACTGAATGACCTGTTGATTGGGGATATTGCATATCTCTTGAAACACTGTCTCCCAAGAACCTTCAAACAGTACCACCACATATGCTGCCATGCGCTATTAGTTCAAAATCCTCAACCTCCCCACCTTCTTACTTACAACCAGCTCAGGGAGTGGCACAACCAACCGGCTTCCTCCTC